TCATATGAATTTATATTCATGAATAACTTTAACATGTATTTTGATTTAAATGATCAAGACAAGTTCAGAGTATTATCATATTTTGATTACCTTTTTAGATTTGCATGTTTTCATGATAAGATAATTTCTCAACTGAGTATATCTTAATGCTGATAACTTAAATTATTAGTGAAATTAGATACTTTTATTATAATATAGTTTTTTCATTAGTATATACATTCCATCATGGTTCATAAATCATTTCAAACTTAATGAACACAAAATTTATACACTTCATATATATGCTTATAATTTAAATAATAACAATTCATAACATTAATTAATTTTCTGAAATTATCTAATTTCAGTGAAGAATCAAAGTTAAATATACAAAAGTATATATTACAATAAATTAAAACTATAAATATAGTAATAATCTAAATAAAATAAATCATTAATATTCAACATAATTTTCACATTATATAATATGTCTGCATATATGGCAACAAACTTAAAAAATAATTCGTAAAATATAAATTGTTTTGCAACAAAGATTGAAGATAACAATTTATATCGAGTTATACTCATCAATAGTATTTAAATGTATTCATATACAACTTTTAAGAATAAACTATAATATTTATAAAGATATTGGGTTAAAAGATCATATACTTAGATTGAAGTTAAAAAATTAACAACAACTTTTACTAAAATTAATAATTTGTCATTTTCTCACTAATAGAGTGATAACTATGGTTTTACACTTCTTTTTAAACTATTTCAAAACAACTATTATCCAAAGAAACTTTCATTAAAACTACATTTAAAACCAGTAGAATAAGAAAGAACAAATAAAAGATGATAATAACAATTTAGTAAAAATAAGTTAAATAAAGTATCATAGTGTTTATATATAATATACCTAAAACAAATTTTGAATGAATTAATGAAGTTTGATGAGAGGAATTTTCAGAAGAAGGCGTAAATTATGTGTTATAAAAAAAAAGAAAAAAAAAGTAAAGTGATAGAATGAATAAGAAAGGGATTGTGTGAAGGAAAGGAAAGAAAACAACCGCTTGCCAAATCCGAATCCCATGTGTTACGTTACCACCTCTTTCTCCCTTGTTACATTCTAATTCTAAATTAATATAAACAATTTCTGTTTCTCTCCTCAAGCATTTAACCATTGCTCCATTAAAATAAGAGATAAAAAACACGTGCATGACGATTCATTATGCCACCTCACACATGTCATTTCCTCACACCACACGAACCAAACCTCTCATGGTTTCACACTCACCGATTGTGTCTCCCACACGTAACTCAACACGTCACAATCTATCATTTTTAAACATTTTATAAAAGTAATAATATCATGACACATTCTTATATTTACTTAACATATACTCTAAAGATAAAATGGTTAAAAAATATAAATTTTTATATTATTTTAAAAAATAAAAAAATAAAGATAATCTGAAATAAATTTAAAATATTTGAATGTCTAAGAGAATCTTTACTCATTTTATAACTATCACAAAACAGAATCAATACAATTATTCACTTCTCTCTCTTCTATATGTTTATATTGAATTTTACACTATACTATAACCGTAAACCTTAATTAAGTACAATAAATAAATAAAAATAATTAATATATAATTTAAAGATAGTTTTAAATAGGATTAAATATGTTTTTAGTCCCTAAAATATTGGCCGTTTCTGGTTTTCGTCCCTCTTTCAAAGTAAGTAAGGTACAATTTGGTCCTCATTCTTTTCGAAACGTTCGTTTTAGTCCTCGGAATTTTGGTTTTAGTCCTCATTTGTTGCTAAATGAGGACCAAATTTTTAAACAGTGTTTAGTTTTCGAGGACTAAAACGAACGTTTCGAGGACTAAAACGAACGTTTCGAAAAGAATGAGGATCAAATTGTACCTTACTTTGAAACAGGGACGAAAACCAGAAATGACCAATAGTTTAGGGACTAAAAACATATTTAACCCTTTTAAATAAAATAAAATCAAGACTACATCCTTTATAAACATGGTTAAAGAAGTACTTTGTGTCATAAGTGTTAATTTAACATCTAAATAATCATTTATCAATTCCAATTTATTAAGTTATAATCAATTTTAGTTACAAAAATATGTTTAAAAAATAATTTAAAGATATTTTTTTAATTAGAGACTAACTTATAAATCAATTTTTTTAATAGTCAAAATTTCGATAACTAATATTAATGTTAATGATGAATTTAGAAATCAATTCATTATGTAAATCATTTTGATTACCAATTTAATGACTAATTATATTTTTTTAACTATTTTAGTTACTAATAATTTTTAATTTATAAATTTGTATATAAATTTATTACTATAATAATTAATTATTTTTTTATGGTTAAAATTAGTCATTAAAATTTTACGATAGTAACAACATATAATTTGATTAATCATTCTTTATTATTTGAAATAGTATCAAAGTAAACTTAGTATATACTTATATACAAATAATTTTATTTTTATGTATTCGTATTTGTTTTTCAATTTTCTAATAATATTTTTTAAAAAGTCATTATTTTATTAATTTTATCTTCTAAATAATTTTAAAAAAATTTAATTGTTTTTTCGACTTGATTTTTTTAAAATTTAACTATTTTTTAATTAAAAAAATAAAAACTACTTATAATAAAATTATAAAAATTATTTATTTAATTATAATAATAACATTCGTAATAATTTAATTATTTTTGCTGTTATAAAAAAAGTAAATATACATACACATGATACATGTGTTTTTACTAGTTTAAATGAAATATATTGTTTAAATAACCTTACATTAAAAAAAAATGTTAGTGTTTCTAGAATAACCATAAACTAAAAAAAATCATATCAATTTAATTCGAGAACAAATCTAAAATTATTGTAAGTGATATCAAATTATATTCTTATCTAATGCATTAAAAAATAAATTCCAAAACATAATTTGTTACTCAAAATTGTCAAAATTATATGTGTGACACCCGGACACTAACTAAGGCGGAGAGTGATCGCCGGTGCAAGAGGCACGAAGTGCAAGAGTCACGAAGTGCAAGGGGCACTGACAAGGAGCGACTCCTGGCAGGCTTCCAGTGTAAGGGACACATGGATGAATCGAACATACACCGGAATGAGAGTGATCTAGAGACTGTATAGGTATGAGACTATACAGTTGAAGAATAGCTTAAAGGGATTGATTTGGCTACTCATATCATCAAAATGCATATGCTTTTCGGTAGCCTAAATCATAAGAACTCCATGGTTAAGCGTGCTTAGCCTGGAGTGTAGCTTTATTTCAGCCATATAAGATAAAATAATATCGATAATCTCACAGTAATATTCCGATTATAACTTTAATATTAAAATCAAAATTTCAGTCATCTAACTTCAAAATTTTCAATTTCACGTACCCTTCTTTCTTGATATAAAAAAATGAGAGAATCTTTATAAATATTCTAGATCATTTATAAATAACAAAGCGCATTACTGTAAATTCCAACTAATTATCTTTCCTTAATCAACTTGTTATATATACAAGAATTTAAAGATTACATGGAGACTTAAAAAGAGACAAGAAATCTCGAAAACCAAGTAGAAGATATAAATCTTAACCTAATTAAAATTGTATTCAATAAAATTTTGTTTATTCTCAATCATCTTCTAACCCATACATTAAAAAAGGGGAAAAAATGATGGTAAATATAACTTTAAAAAATATATAAAACATTGAAAAATTCAAATTGAAAAGAGTTAAATATTTTGTAATTTTAAAGTTTTTTTTTAATTATAATTTGTCATGTTCTAAATTTTAATATAGTTTGATCTTAAAATTTAAAATTTATGTTACTATTTTTAATATAAATATTTTAAATTTTTGTATATATCAAATAATTTTTTAGACTAGTATTTGATTTATTTTCATCATGTTTAACATGTTCCAACTTAAATATAAGTTTGAAACATGATTCATCATATAAACTCTTTTTAATATTTTTGAATTAAAAAAACTATATATTTTTTTAAAACACACAGTTAAAATAAATTAAAGTTGAATATACAAACGAATTTTAATTTTACATTAGTAGAAAGTTACAAACATATTTAATTAAATTTAAAATGAAAAAAAGAAAAAAACCATAAGACTTTTAAAATAATTTTCTAATAGATTCCTAAAGCACCTTCTGTAATGGTAAAGAAACAATTTATTTTACTGCGAATCTGAATATTATTTCCAAATGCTATTTTAGTTATATTTTTATTAAAACTCGGTGAAGGTCTAACTTTTTTTTAGTTAAACAAATTTCAGTGTAATATAATATGACGGTGTCTATTAGATCTGATAAAGTTTATGAAAAAAAATCATATTATTTTTTTATTTCCAAATTTCCATAAAATACAATGAACAATTAGCCAATCATTCATTTTAAATGTCATAATTTTCCAAATTCAAAATATTTATTTATCATAAAATTTAATTATATAAAAAATTGTCACAAATTTAATTTTCATTAACCACCTCAGAGATAAAAAAAATAACTTGTCTGAAATAATAATAATAGTTATTAGGTATCAATATTGGTTATTGGAAAGTAATGTAGATTAAGAAAGATGAAAACAAGACTTCATGACGGTGGTTGAGAGTTCAGATGGGAGAAAAATATGAAAATAATTATTTCGACATAAATATTTTTTGATAATATTTTAATAATATACGTGTCATTTTTTATTAATTCATTATTTATGTTTTATTATATTATTATACTCTAAACTTAGATAAAAAAAAATGACATGTGAAAATGTAGCGGAAAATTTAGGCCAACATGTTAGCCCAAAAAAATAGATAGCTGGAGTGAATGGAAAAAGTGAATTTGGAGGGAAACCCTACCTGTGAGATGTTCAACGGCTAGTTCTGCACGTTCCTTCAACATGTTAACTACAAAACACAACCGACCACACCTTTTACAGCTTGGCTTCGATCTCTCCACCTTTTTCTAACCTTAAAGCACTCTTTCCTTCTTCACTCTTCACCATGTCTCACTGTTTTTGCTGCTACTTCTTTCTCCTTCCATCTTTTTCCAAAAATGCCCAGAAAAGCATCACCCTTTTTCCACAAAGTCTCCCTTCATCTCCTCAGACTCTCTCTTCTCATCCACAGATTAAGAAAACCCATATTGCCAAAGCTCCTCAAGAGGTTCAAGAAGTGTCAGGAGTTGAAGCTCCTGAAGCACTCTGAGTATGGAGAGTACCAGTTCTCCGCTTCAACAACTCCCCTCATTCCTGGTTACCATCGAAACCAGTTCAAGAACAGGGTCCAACCACCTCTGTGTTCTTTCTTGTATCTCTATTGGTGCCTTGGCAACTTCCAAGTAGAACGAAGTGGGGAGTGCCAGCTGGCATTGGAACCCTTTGAAATTGGAGATGAAACAAGCCTAGTTCAGGATTTGTTTGAGTGTGGTTCAGGGGATGAAGGTGAATCGGTTGATCAGAAGGCTGAGAAGTTCATCCAGAGTTTCTACCAGCAGATGAGAATGCAGAGGCAGGAATCGTTCTAGCTCTTCAGATTCACTTTATATTTTTCAATTCATTATTCCTTTCTTGATTGTTTTATTCAATCTTTGCATTAATTTCGCCTTCGTTTTGCTTAATTTAATTTTCAATCAGGAGAAATGGATTACTTTCTTGCTTAATTTAATTCTTTAAATTCTTAAATATATCAATTTAATTCCATCTCTTGGTGTAATGAAGATTTTTTTTTTCTTTTGCTAATTTATAGCATTGTAGTTTATATAAACCATTTAGCATGTGTTGTAAGGAAATCCTAGCCAGTAAATTCAAAGATTCTTTTTTTTCTGGTTTATATAAGATCGTATCGCAGACCAGTATTTCGTCTGAGATCTTGTGATATATTATATATCATACATGATTATGCAGCAAGATTTAAGATCTATTTTCTAAAATTTCCTCCAAAAAATGACAGAAAGGATGAGCATATATGATAAATGTTTAATAATATTAGTGTTTTTCTAGGGTTCGGGATTGTCTGTTTAAATATCTCTGTCACGTTTGTTGGGTATTCCCTTCTGAGTAATATAAAATCGGTGGAAACTCACCGGTTCACTTTCAAATAGTTTTGTAATCATGTTATATTTATATGGAGTTGATTTCCTATTAGAAAAACTGATATCACCAAACCCTTTTTTCTCTTGTGAAAAAAGAAATAAAAACTAAGAATTGGTTCAACTGATTGTGATTTTTGCTCTGAAATTATAAGCATTGTATTCGTGTTTAAAATTGTTCAAAAATCACATTAAAATGACATAGCTTAACTTTGGACACGAGTGCGTTAAGGGGAAACCAAAGCTGTTGTTTTTGTCTATAAGCAGTGGTTCCGAATCCGAAATCGAGGTATATACAGGCCAGGCAAAATGAGTAGACTTTTTGACTCAGTTATGAATTGAGGCAAAAGAGGGTAAGATTTTACCTTGGTTCTTAGGTAACCGAGGCATTAGTGTGTTTTATTTTTATTTTTATTTTAGGCCTCGATTCATACTGAATCGAACGGTTCGTACTCTCGCCAAGCCCTAACTGCATCGTCGCTGTTTTTTCACTGCCATCGCAATGCCCTTATCGCACCCTCGCCCTATCCTAGTCGCGTCGTCGTTGTTCTTTCGCTACCATCGATGATCCTCTGAGATTGATTGTCTGCGAGAAAGGAAGAAGAAAGAAACTTGAAGCTTCTGGGTTCGCGGGTTTGCTCGAGATAAATGACAGAGAGAAAAGATTAGGAATAGAACCTCTAAATAGGGTTTGTTGAGAGAAACCAACAATAGGGAAAAAATTGGTGTTTCCCCTCTCTACAATACCAACCTAGAACCAGTGAGAAAGGGGGGAAGAAGATAGGTGCCCCCTAGCAACCCTCTCGCGCGAGACAAAGAAAGGGGGAAGAACAGAACCTCTGTTTTCTTCTTGCAGTCGCTGCAAAACGCGTCTGACATCTTCTTCCTTCTCTCAAGGTTCCAATACAATGCAGGGGACTATATTTGCACGCGGAAATATGAGTTATGTTGGAAGATGGGCGCAAGAAGAAGGCACATGGGAGATGGGAGAGGAAGACGCTCTTGCGCAAGAAGAAGAAGGAAGGGGAAGAAGAAGAATGAGGAGATGCGCGCTAGGGGAAGAAGAAAAATGTGTAAACTTTTTTTCAGGTTTCAGTAATTTGAACTAGTGAAAGAGCTACTACCTCAGTTCCACAATTGAGGCAGTAAGAACACTACTAACTCGATTTATCTGATAACCGATGCCCAAAGAGCTAAAAAAGGGATTGTAACCTTTGATTTCAGAGAATGAACGTTCAGTTTTATGTTTCAGTTTCATGGATAACAGAGGCAGTAAAGTGCATAGGTTTCGGTTCTACAAGTAACCGAGTCAGTAAGGCCTTTAGGCCGCGGTTCGGAGAAGACCGAAGCCGTAGAGGTCAACAAAAGGGATTAGAACGTTCGATTTCAGAGAATGAACTATACTTCGGTTTCCTAGGATTTCCTAGATAATCGAGACAGTAGAGAGCATATGCTTTGGTTCTTAGTGAATCCAGACGTATAAGTTCGTCTTAATTACAAAAATGTCACCATATTTTAATATGTTTCGATTTTATAAAAATCGACACATATTAAACGTGTTAAAATATTTTTTTTACTAGTGGAAACGGAAAAAGAAACTATATTGTGAAATTCATAACCACATTATAATAAAAGGATGACGACTTACCTAGATTCTTATGGATGTGGAAAAGGAAGAACACCTTTGTCTCATTCATTGTCAAATATTTTTGGGTCAACGCGAGATAAAGCCTCTTTCATATACAACTTTATTAGCTTATCTTAGTTCAAATATACAAATATACCCTTTTTTTTTTACCCATTTTTTTTTGTTTTTTTTTTTTTGCATGTTAAATATAACATCGAGTTTAGTTAATTTCAATTAATTTAATCTTTTAGAAATATTTAAATTGTTGATGAAATATAAATAGTTTATGTCAATTGTTAGATTGTATTTTTTTAATATTTTTAAATTTGTAATAATTTTTTATTTTAAAACAATATTCTTTATATGCCAATTGAGTATGTAACAATATAATTTGAGTGTTTTATCTTACATCTCCAAGATCTCATCCAGCACCTCCAAAAACATTTTATCATTATCCTACACCTTTAACTTTATAGAAAATTTTACTTTTAATTTTAATAAATATATTTTTATTTCCTTTTTTTGTTAAAAAAGACTCTACACCACCTTAATAATAACTAAATTTAAAATTCAAATATTATTTAATATAATTTTATATTTTAATAATTATTAAAATATGATTTATGTTATAATAATAGTTATATTAAAAATAAACTAATGAAAATAAAAATAATAACAAAAAAATAAAATTATATTAAATAAAATATTTAATATATTCAAATATATTAAATTATATTAAAATATTAAATTAAATTAAATAATTATTAAAATTTAAATAATAAACAAAATTTTAAAACAATTATTTATCGAATACAAATAAAATTATATTAAATAAAATATTTAAATATACTAAATTATATTAAAATACTAAATTAAATTAAATAATTATTAAAATGTATATATAAAATAAAATTTTAAAAACCATTCTTTATCATATATGGATATCCGATTCATAACTTATAAGATATATACGATTAACAAATTTTTCAAAATTTTGTTTTTTTTTAAATTTTAATAATTATTAAATTTAATTTAATATTTTAATATAATTTAATATATCTAAATATATTAAATATGATTTTGAGTATTATTTTTATTCTTATTTTAGTTATTATTTTTCAATTTTTTTAATAGAATTATTTTAAAAATATAAATTATATTTTATTAATTATTAAAATATAAAATATAATAAGTAATATTATAATTTTTATTTAACTTTAATATTTATTAAATTTTAAATAAAAAGAAAAAGTACTAACATATTTTATAGATTTTAATATATAAATAATTTTTTTAAAATTTTCATTTTTATTTAAAATTTAATAATTATTTAATTTATTTTAATATTTTATTATAATTTAATATATTTGAATATATTAAATCAAATTTATTATTATTTATTATTTTTATTATTATTATTATTTTATTTTTATGTTTTTTTATATAACTATTATTATAATATAAATTATATTTTAATAATTATTAAAATACAAAATTATTTTAAATAATATTTAAATTTTAAATTAAATTAAATTAAATTATTATTAAGGTAGTGAAGATTGTTTTTAATAAAAAAGAAAAGAGAATGGAAAAATATTTATTAAAATTAAAAATAAAGTTTGAAAAAGTTGGAGATGCAGGATGAGATGTCAGATGGTTAAAAGTGGAATTTTTGGAGGTGCATGATGAGATCTTGGAGGTGTAGGATGAAACACTCATATAGTTTCATATGTTAAGTGTAAGGGCTTGTAAAATTAATAAAGGGGCCTTATGGCCTTTTGTGGGGGAGCCAGACCCATCAGATCAAAGACACATGACCTTAGTAGGGGTGTTTCTCTTTAGTCAGCTTTCCACTCTGCTAACTTTTCCTTTTCTCTCTAAAAACTCATCTTCTAAATATTGCTTTGCCTCCTCTCTAAAATACCACCCTGTTGAACCGTTCAATTTTTGAATAGGTGGTGCTCAAACGTTCACGGCGGGGCTCCGTAACGGACCAAACAGGTTCTTGTCCCAACCGGTAAGTATATTCTCCTTTTCTCCACTGTTTCTAGCACCTAGGGCATTGCTATTTTACTAAATGCATGCCACAATAAGTGTTCTACTTCAAATTTGTGGAAATTTCTAGCCTAAAAAGTTAATTCTATCACCATTGGGTGATTTACAGGGTGTCTTTGAATTTTGCTGTGAGGAGCACTATTTAGATCATCCCTGTCAAGTAAACTATGAAGTTTTCCAGGTAAGGGTAGCTAATTATTTTTGTATGAATTTATTTTATACAAATATATGCAGGTTGAATGTTGAAGTGTTCTTGTGAAACTGTTCTACGATGTTAATTTTTATTGGATAATTATAACTGAGACTGTGGAATTGTGCTTAAATAATTTATGCTTTGGTGTTGAACATGGTACATGTGGCAATTATGTTTGTAAGTGTTTTTGTTGAAATTAATCTGTTTTAGTTGAAATTGTTCTGGTTGGAGGGTTTGGAGTAAGGGCTCTGTGATAACATGTATATGAGAAGATACTGTTTAAGGTTACTATGAGGGGAAAGGTGATATATATAATTGGGTATTTGATGTCTAGAACACTGTTGGACAGTTTTAATAACTTGGATAATTAAATATAACTTGTTAAAAGCCTTTCTTTGTTGGTATGATAGAGGAGACTTAAAAACCTGAGTTGGCACATCCCTGATCATAGAGTAGCTCTAGCCTGGTCCAGTACGTTGTGACTAGTCATATGTGCTAGCACCGAAGGTGAGTCTGATGCGTTCAGACATCTGAACCTTCTCCGGTGACCAATTTGGGGGAAAGTAAAATCTCTACTATGATGAAAATTAGACAAATAATTTACCAAATAAGAACCATGATATACATATATATATATACACACACATATATATATATATATAATATATATATATATATNAACCAACAATAGGGAAAAAATTGGTTGTTCCCCTCTCTACAATACCAACCTAGAACCAGTGAGAAAGGGGGGAAGAAGATAGGTGCCCCCTAGCAACCCTCTCGCGCGAGACAAAGAAAGGGGGAAGAACAGAACCTCTGTTTTCTTCTTGCAGTCGCTGCAAAACGCGTCTGACATCTTCTTCCTTCTCTCAAGGTTCCAATACAATGCAGGGGACTATATTTGCACGCGGAAATATGAGTTATGTTGGAAGA